AATGCTTGTAAACTTTTCGGGTTCATTTATTTTCCTTTTTGGTAACGAATAAAAGGAGGAGTACTCTTCATTTAATTCCTCGAGAAACAGGTCTGATTTTGATGCTTTGGAAAGAAAAAAAATCTGATTAATTTTGATATGAATGATTAAACTTCCAATTTATTCCTTACAAAAAAGAGAAATAAATACAATTTAAAGGCTAGAAAATGAAATGAAAAATAAAAACTTGATGACCCAGACAACTCATTAGTTAAAAAAATAAAGGTAAACTTACTTTGCGTCGTAATCATTACTTTGCTGCAGTTTAATGATTCATCTAACAAACACTTCCTATTATTTATGGCGTAATTTAAGAAATGCAACCAAAATTCAGTTAGAATGCATTTCATCTTTTAATTCGTTACAAGTTCTTATCTCGCTAGCTAGATTGTAGCCTAATACATTGCTATAAATATAGATGCAATCCTTGTTTTGCATCCTCATCCAACTTTAGAGCATCCAATTTCTAAGAAAGGTGAAAATATGACGGGAAAGCCATTGAAAGATATTGCTTTAGCTTTCATTTTGGTTGTGTTAACTTTTAAGGCCTATTCACTGCCTCTTTCAACAAATGGAAGATGGATCATCGATGCTTCAAGTGGTCACCGTGTGAAGCTGATGTGTGCAAACTGGCCTTCTCACATGCAAGCCATGCTGGCAGAAGGTCTCCATCGTCGACGGCTCGACGATATTGCCGCCACTGTGGTCAAGTTGCGGTTCAATTGCGTGCGTTTGACGTACTCAATCCACATGTTCACACGCCATGCCAACCTGACCGTAAAAGAGTCCTTTGAAAATTTTGATATGAAAGATGCCATGGCGGGCGTCATCCASAACAACCCTTCTATGTTGAACATGACGTTAGTTCAGGCTTATGGAGCTGTGGTCGATTCACTTGGAGCACATGGAGTCCTGGTTGTTTCCGATAACCATATCAGTCAACCAAGATGGTGCTGTAACGATGATGATGGCAATGGTTTCTTTGGAGATCGCTATTTTGATCCTCAAGAATGGCTACAGGGACTTAGTTTGGCAACTCAAAGCCTAAAGAATAAATCCCAAGTATGTTTAAAAGTTTTGATTTCGTTTTCTTTTAATCTTTTTCATTTGAGCAAAACTTTTAGTTCGTGAAAGAAGGAAAACCCTCTTTGATTTTATACTTTACTTTCTATAAGAACGTTTTTAAAACCTACACCATATTTAATGTTGGAATTTAAAACTAGAAATAAGGCTTTTATTTTGGTTGTTTGCATTACAATTTTTAGGGCTTGTTTTATAGAGTTGTCAAGATTAGGTTATGTTACTGCAAGCTCATTTTATGTTTTCATAAACATCTCATTTTCACTTTTAGAAATGAATCAGTTTAAGTTACACGTTTTTTGCAATGTCTTTTTCTTTTAAAGACAATAGTCTTTTTTTTTGTTTTTTTCGCATATAACTTTTACTTCTATATTTTGATTGTTTGCATGGTAATAAATATGCAAAAGGTGGTAGCAATGAGTTTGAGAAATGAACTGCGAGGACCAAATCAAAATGTGGAGAAATGGTTTGAATACATGAGCCAAGGAGCTAAGCTTATTCACCAAACAAACCCAAATGCTTTAGTAGTGGTTTCTGGGCTGGATTTCGATACCAATCTCAGCTTCTTGAAAAATAGATCTATGGGCTTCAACTTGGACAACAAGCTTGTTTTTGAGGCTCACTTGTACTCTTTTACGAATGACATGCGCGAGCTTTGGATGTCGAAGCCATTAAACACATTCTGTGCTACTGTCAACCAAGGATTTGAAGAGCGAGCTGGATTTCTAGTGAGAGGACAAAATCCAGTGCCTCTGTTTGTGAGTGAATTTGGGATTGATCAAACTGGTGCAAATGAAGGGCAAAATCGATTCTTGAGCTGCTTTTTTACCTATCTTCTTGAGAATGATTTCGATTGGGGCTTATGGGGTTTGCAAGGTAGCTACTACTATAGGAATGGGGTGCGAAATGACGATGAAACATTTGGCGTCTTAGATTCCAATTGGACAAAAGTTAGGAACCCTAAATTCCTCTTGAAATTTCAGCTCATGCAAGCCCAACTTCAAGGTAACGTTTGAATTTATAAGCTACTACTTTTCTACACTTTGTTTTCATGAATTATTATTATTATTTTATAAATGAGATTCTCCAGTAGGAATATTTTGAAAGCC